GTGATCAAATAACTGATTGTCCAGCAAGATCTAAATGTACATGAATTCAGAGAGAGGAGTTGGAATAAATTCCTTCATGAGATGTGATTTAAGATAAATTTCAAAGAAAGTGTGGGACAATTTTTCTTATTGAATAGTCTAGAAAACCCACATAAAAATCATCCAAGGAACATGTTTGGGTGTAAATTTCTACATCCCAATGGATCACAGCAGTGCAGTTCAGGTGGAGATGGCACAGGACAAGGCAGTATTTCATTCTGCTGTGTATGAGGTCTCCATGAGTCGCAGGCCCACTCAATAGAGCTAAAAACAACAAGAACATAAAACTAACTCGCTAAAAAGGAGAAAAGAGCAATAATAATAATAAAAATACTTGATTATTTCTTCTTTCTTGCCTATTTTTGAGTTAAAAGAAAAAAGAACAGAATTAGAAAATAACAAGCATGTTGGTAAGCTTAAACTTTATCTTGTAAGTAATACAAAGGAATTAATCTACTTAAAAGACAAAGGCTTAATGAAACAAATATACCTCAAACAATACTCTTTTTTTTTTAATTTTTTATTGTGATTTGGGTGAAGATTTACAGAGCAAATTCACTTTCCATACAGCAGTTCCCATATACTTTGTCTCATGTCATTGACCACAGTTTACCACAATGCAACAGCTCTCCTCCCATTTCCTCCCCATAGTTACCTCTTCCCAGTGTCCATCCCTCTATACTCTCCTGCCCCCTGAGCTGTCTCCCTGTGCATAAGCAGCCCTTCTTTCTCCCATGATTGTTCTCTCCAAGGTGTGTATCTACTTGAGGTAAATGTTTAACTCACATGCCTATATTTTGTTTGGCTGGAAACCACAGGTGTGGGTTCAATTCCAGACCTGAAGGGCAGCTAAGGGCAACAGTCTCAGTGGTTCCACCAGGCTCTATCAGACCAGCAAACCTGTTCCCCACTTTTTTTTTTTTTCCTCCAACTGATTTTTCAGTTGTTCCACATTGTTCTCCCTCTCTATCCAGGATCTCCAACATAGATCCCCTTCCAAGTGGTAGCTGGGCACCATCTAGTTCTTCTGGTCTCATAGTTTTATAGGCTGCAGATTGGATGGTGTACCAGTCGTTAGGACTGATTGTTTCCATGAATTTGGGTTTTCTTCATTCTTCTTTGCTCTGGACGAGGAGAGACCCATCATTGCATCTAGATGGCAGCTTGCCAGCTTTTAAGATCCCAGTCACTACTCGCCAAAGTAGGAGGTGGAACAATGTTTTGTATAGTATACAAACAATACTCTTTAAATATAAGAACACAGAAAGGCAGAAAGTTAAAGGATGGAAAAGACATATCATGCAAATACAAACCAAAAGAAGGCTGAGGTAGCTTTATTAATAAAAGATCAATAAGATTTCAGGCCCAAATGTTGCAACACATACAAAGGGGCATTTCATATTGATAAAGCGGTCAATGCAATAGAAAGAAATGACAATGCTAAATTTGTATCCCCAATAACACAACTTCAAAATACACAAAGGAAAAGGTATAGCAATAAAAGGTAAAATAGACAAAATTCACAACCAACACTACAGATTTTAATCTTTCTCTCATAATAGCTGTAAGGAAAAAACAAAACAAACAAATAAACAAAAACACAGTATCTTTAAAGATATAAAACATTTGAACAGCACAATTAACCTTCTAGCGTAGTACCTAAGGCACTTGACTGCTAACCAGAAGGCTGGCGGTTCACACCCACCAGCCACTCCTCGGTAGGAAAATGGGGCAATCTACTTCTGTAGTGATACTGCCTCAGAAACCCAAGGAGGGGTCACTATGAGTCGGGTCCGATTCGAAGGCACATAACAACAACAACAAATCTAATTCACATATTTAGCACATAAAACCTACCAGATACAGAACACATATTTATTTTAAAGTATACATGGACAATTTATCAAAATAGACAGTATGGACACATTGCTAAAACTTAGAGACTGAAAATATGTCTCTCATTCCTCCAGCTCTAGTTTGCTGTTGTAGCAAGGGTCCAGTCAGGCCTGTGCCTGCCTTGTTCCTGAGTAGGCCAGAGATCCCATCTGAACAGTCTTCCTACAGAAGCTCCACACTCCAGATGGTCAGAGGGGAATTCCAGACCAGTGTTGCCTCCTCCGACAGTGATACACTGGCCAAGGTTGTTGGTGCAGGGGCTGCCAAAGTTGGTATGGCTGGTTCAGGGGCCAGTATTTGGATAGCTTTGGCAGCTTCATAATCAGCTATGCTAGAAACCCACTTCTCAAGCAGCAACTCTTTTCCTATGCTACTCTGGGTTTTGCCTTGTCTGAGGCCATGGGGTCACCTACCCATCTCTGCTGCTTCTACTCCAGGTCATGTCCTGTGCTGGAGTGTGCTAAGGTTTACCATTAAACACAGTATTTCTCCAAAAAAAAAAAGGTATTTTGAGCCATAAGTAAGTTTAAAAGGTTGAAATCAATTTATTTTCTGACCACAGTGGAATAAACTAAAAAACAGTAACAAAAACATAAATAAAAAATTCCGAACATTTAGAAATTAGCTACATAGTTTAAATAACCCATTCATCAAAGAAGAAATCACTGGAAATTAGAAAATATTTGGAATTAAATGATAAAGGAAATATAATGTGTCAAAATGAGTAGGATGTAGCTAAAACATTGCTTAGTATGAAATTTGTATCTTTAAAGGGATGTATCATTAAAAAAAGTTGAAAATCAATTATCTCAGTTTAAATTTAATATACCAGCAAATTAAAGTCAAATTAAGACAAAAATAATAAAGAAATGAAATTGATTAAACATAAAGCAAACATACAAGTGAGAAAATCGTAAGGCCAAAGTTGGTTTTTTGTCAAGATTAATAAAACTGACAAACCACTATCAAGTCTGGAAAAAAAGAAAAGGAAATCAAATCATCAATCTTAGAAACTGAAAAAATAATCACTAAAAATCTCACAAACATTAAAAAGATAATAATAATGTTTAATCTATGAACAGTTTTATGCTAAGCAAATTCATTTTCCATACAACAATGCATACACATTTTGTTTCAAAACATTGACTGCAATCACCAAACTATGCAACAAAAAAGTTAATTTTATGCTAATACATTTGGAAATTGGGATAAAATGTCCAAATTCTTCAAAAAACATAACTTCTTAAATCTCATGCAAAACTAGAAAACCTGAAAAAAAAAATAGAAAATCTCAAAATTCTATATTTAGACATAGAAATGTATATATATTTTAAAAAGAAATCGAAGCCATACTTAAAATTTTCTCAAAAGGAACACTACAGGCCCAGATTATTTCCATTGTAAATTTTCATTTAAGAAATAAATATTATTGATATTATACAACGACTTTCAGTAGAAAAACAGAGAACTTTCCAACCCATTTTAGAAGTCCAGGAAAACATTAATAACCAAACCTGGTAAAACCCCACTGCCGTGAGTCTTACCCACTCACAGTGACCCCCTCCTTGGCTTTCCGAGGAGGAAACTACTTCACTCTATTACTACTACAATCTACTTCACTCCGGAAGTAGATTGCCCAAGGAAAATCACAAGCCAGTATCTTTCATGAACATAGACTGAAACATCTTAAACAAGATACTATCAAATTTAATACTGTGGTTTATAAAAAGGAAAATATGTCTTGACCAAGTGGAGTTTATGCCACAAATGCAAAGTTGGTTTTTGAGTCAGTTCCGAGGCATAGTGACCTCATGTAACAGAGCAAAACTACCTCACAGGATTTTCTTATCTGTAATGTTTGGAAGCAGATCTCCAGGAATCTTTGTGGAGTGGCTGGGTAGGTTCCAGTCTCCAACCTTACAGTTAACTGTTGTGCCACCACGACTCCTTGCAAAGTTGGTTTAACAGTATACAAAAACAAAAAATCAATCAAAACCATTTACTGCATTAACAGAACAAAAAAGAAAAACCTTAGAATAGAATAGGTAAATACAACGGATAAAAGTTAAGTAGTGTTACCAGGGGCTGGGGGGAGTGCAGACTAGGGAGTTAAGGCTTTCAAGGGGTACTAAGTTTCTGTATGGGGTGATGAAACCTTTTGGTAATAGTGGTGATGGTTGCATAGCATGTTAAAAATGATTAATGTTACTGAACTGTATACTTTAAAATGGTAGTTCTGCTATACATATATATGTTGTTGTTGTTGTTATGTACCGAGGAGTCGGACTGGCTTGCGTTTCCGAGGCAGTATCACTACAGAAGTAGATTGCCCAACCTTCCTTCAGAAGCACATTGCCCAACCTTCCTTCGGAGGTGTAGCTGGTGAGTTTGAACTGCCTGCCTTCTGGTTAGCAGTCAAGTACCTTCCTTAGACACTATGCTACCAGAGCTC